CACATAATGCAAAACCCACTAAAAAAAATTCAAAAACTAATAAAATTGTTTAGACCCCAAACTGAAGTGAAAACAAAAAGTGAAAAGTGAAAAAATACGTGGGCGAGCACGTTTTGACACCGCCATCTTTGGCGATTTGTAATTCTTATTTGGCTTAGCCAAATGACTTGAAAATTTACAGGCATGTACCTCAAGTCATAGGGAACTCACAAAACAAAATTCAGAAAAACATTATTATTTTTAGGCCCCGAAATATTTTTTGGCGGGGGCCAAATGCCGTCGGGTTCGAACCCCGTACGGGACCCCGAACGCCCGAACGTACGGAGGTCCCCCTGGGGGCCTCCGAACGTACGGGCTGGTAACCCTGCCCATATATATATTTGTTTACAAGGTTGCCGGCGTTCGGGATGGGCCGAACGCCCGAACTCGAACGCCCGAACGCTCGGCACCCCCTCTTGTCACGTTCGGCCGTTCGGCCGAACGCGGACCCCCCCCTACCAAAAAAAAAAAAAACCAAAGATTCCAAAAAAATCTGATAAAAATATATGTTATACATAAGAATAAACTAAACATTTGCCTCAACGTTAGATCCAAATTATTTACCACATTTGAAATAAAAATCAAATACCAAAACTATATAATCATAATGAAAATTATAAAAAAATTAAAACAAAAATGAAATTATTGAGTGAGCGAGAACGTTTTTGACACCGCCATCTTTGACGATTTTTCTTTTTTTTTAATCTGTGATAAATGCTATGAAAATTTATATATGTGTATCTTACATAATAGAGAATCTACAAATAAAGTTTACAAAAATAATAATTTTTTTCACATCCCGAAATAATGAAAAAACAAAAAGTGAAAAAAGAGAAAAAACAAATTAGTGAGTGGGCAACCAAGTTTTAACACCACCATCTTTGAGGATTTATCATTTTTTTTTTAGCTGGACAGAATGGCTTCCAAATTAAGAGGGAGATACCTTATGTCACAAAGAACTCACAAAAAACTTTTCAGAAAAACATAATAATATTTAGGTGCCAAAATAGTTTTTTGCGGGGTCCGAACCCCTTCAAGTTCAGACTCGTAGGGGGACCCGAACGCCCGAACGTTCGGGGGTAAGCTTAGGGGCCTCCGTACGTTCGGCTTGGCAACCTCACGTTCGCGCCCCTTCACGTTCGCACGAACAGCTCGCGAACATGTTCGGGAGAACATAATTTTTGTTTCCGTAAAAAAATTGAACGCCGCGGGAACACGGCCCAAATGCGTAGCACGGCGAACGTGTTCGCGCCCCTTCACGTTCATGCGAACAGCTCACGAACATGTTCGGGCGACCATAATTTTTTTTTTCCGTAAATATATATATATATATATATATATATATATATATATATATTTTAACTCATGATTGGCTACGAATTTAAACATAACTCCAAGGCAAAATTTGCTTGTATTGTTATTTTACATAACATTTATTTTTTCAGATTTTTCTGAGATGTTTTATTATTATTATTGTTCGCGTTCGGACAGTTTTTGGCGCTTGTTCACGTTCGCCTCCGAACGCGAACACTGTGCTACATAGATATACATAACTATATATAAAACTATATATATATGGTAACCGGCGTTCGGGACGGGCCGAAC